TGGCTGTTTCACCACCGCCTATTGTCGAAAGTTCATTAGTTAGAGTTCAGAAGACTAAATTAGGGCAAAAATTCCCTTGTTTGTCTTTTCTCTCTAATTGTAAGTAAATATTGTATTCATCCTCTTTAATTTCGGTTGCTCCCGGCTTATCTTTTAATTGCTCTGGCGGGGCTTGCTCGGTGGCAAAGCAGACCTTTATTTTTTTATCATCTTTTTGCGCATAGATTTTCGTTATTCGTTGGACTTCCTGAATTAAGTTCCTTTTGTTAGTGTTTTCAGTAGTATCTTCAGCAATTCCTAATTCCGTCTATAGTTTTTTGGTAATAATTTCTTTCTAATCTTGCCTTGGATAGATGTTCTTTAAATCTTTTGAATAAATCTTTAGCTTCTTCCTCCTGGCGAGCATTGTAATGTAAACCATTTCGAAAATGTTGACAAGTATCACATTAGTCGGTCTTTGGACTCATAATTTGAATCTCTGGTGTTAATTGATGTCATAGTTTTCTAAATGCATCATATTTTAGGATTTTAATTTGCCATCTTCTTCCAGACCAGCTAGAAAATCTCTATACACTATTTATAACTCATTTCAGCTGGTAAAAAGATAACTGACTGAGTTATTCTATTGACACTCCTTCCTGGACTTGGTAATCCATGGACTTCTGCATAATTTTCCAGAAAAATTTTTACTATTCAGCAACATTTTTTTCAATCACCATTTCAATTCAAATCCCCATTACAATAATAAATCATACCTAGATCGCCTCTACTCCAGTTCAATTAGGTTTTTTCTAGTGTCAAAAATTCTGATCTGTCAGATGTTGGAATCGAGATGTGAATAATGAATATTACATTTTTTTACGTGCGGACACTTACAATGGAGAGAAACTGAATAAGGAGAACGTGCTGGTATTAATATTCACCTCTCATTTTTAATTGTGACAGGATATGTCAAACCACAACCAGCTAATATACACTATCTATTACTATAGATCCTTTATGTAACCAGCAAATTGGAACGAAGAAAAAATTCTTTCACTAATAATTCTTCGAATAGCTCAAGAAAAGAAATTCAAACAATTTTATTGATTTTTCACAATCAATAATCGAAATCGAAAAAATCGATCATAATCGATTGTGACCAGCAAATCGAAACAATCAATTTTTATCCAAGATCGATTAGCAATTGATTTTTATATTGCGAGTGGCCTTTTGATTGTTTTACATTTATGGCCAAGTTTAAGTTAACTTTTTAGCTACACTTTACGGTTAATTGCAAGCCTTCATATCCAATTATCGTCAATTAATTTATTTACAACAATTATCCTGCTTACTGCAGCTTATACCTGGAAATCTTCGGCGAATTTGTAAGCACGCAAATAATAAAAATAAAAAATAGATAATAAAAATACGAAAGAGGCTACATCACATGTCCGAAACATGATTGTATGGCACTTCGATAAATGCGTCTTATTTATCACAATAAAGTCAAACTTCGATAAGCCAAACTTTTGAGAAACCACAAAAATTGAATTCAGCTTATCAAAATTCGGTCCATGATGATGATTTACGATTATAATTACTAAATTAGTATTACTTTTAAGGTAAAAATACAGGATTATAAACCATTCAAAAGTAAAAATTTTGGATTTTAGGCACACAGATCTGCAAAAAAAAAACACGTAAAATATTTATTAGCACTCGGTGTATGAATATTTTTTTTTGGAAAAACAATTATTTTCAATGATAAAACATGAGTATTGTTGTTTGGTATGGGGTCACATTACTACACTTAGTCACGTGGGGTGCGAATAACAATTCCCTTTAATTATTGTAAAAATACAAATTACCCATTATTTCTTAGAGGATAATACTTTTATGTTAAAAATACATAAATAATAAAAATATAAATAAACTATTATTGTTATAATCCATCAGAAGATATTTAATTGATTATCTCAAATAAGTTAAGTAAATTTTACATCTATAAAAAATAAACAAAATATAAATCACTGCACATGATTTGTTAAAGCAATAATAACATTTTCTGTTTACGATCAACAATGTGTGGAAAAATTCATTGGTAATAGTAAAGGTAGTCAATTTTTTATTAACTTGTTATTATTTCATTTATTGTTTGCTTTTTAAGTTGTCTTTTCTCATTTTGATTATTAATGATGATAAGCCAATTTAAATCTAGGCCATAATTATTTTTCATGGGAGGTTGACCAAATTTTCCAATTTCTCTTCACAAGTTATTGAGCAATCATATTTTTTAAATCATTTACCTAAAACTATTACATTGATTCATCTAAGTTTAATTCCATTCATATACTTTCCTTCAACTTTAAAACAATTATAAAAAACTACAAAGTGAACATAAAATTATAAAATAATATATATAGGGATAAGTGTATATGAAAATTAATAATAAATATAATGGTTCTAATGAATATCAAAAGGCCATTGATTTTTTAGAAAAAGGCTGTGGTTGTGGATGCTCTTCAAGAATTCCCAAGGAACAATTTGCAGAATTAAGGGAATCTTTTCAAGCTCTTTCTAAAGTAGAACAAGACATATTCTTAATGGCCCAACTTAAGGCAATGGATGGTGGGTCAATAAGCACTAGCAGACGCCTTAAAAAGAAAACCAGGTCCAATAAAAGAACTTTCTATCAGTGGGATCACAATACACTTCTTTGTCAAGAAACTTACCTCAATATGTTAGGAATTGGCAGAACTTTGAAAATATCAGAAGTCATCTAATAAACAATGGTCTTCTAACAAGAATTCATGGTAATATTAAAAGAATGCCTCAATGGAAAACTAAAATGATGATTGATAAAAATGTTGCTGAAGTAGTAAAAAATTTTCTAGAAAATTATGCAGAAGTTCATGGATTACCAAGTCCAGGAAGAAGTGTCAATAGAATAACTCAATCAGTTATATTTTTACCAGCTGAAATGAGTTATAAATCAGTGTATAGAGATTTTCTAGCTGGTCTAGAAGAAGATAGTAATTTGAAATCTTTGAAGTATGATGCTTTCAGAAAATTGTGACATCAATTGACACCAGAAATTCAAATTATGAGTCCCAGGACTGACCTGTGTGATACTTGTCAGCATTTTAGAGATGGTTTACATTACAATGCTTGCCAAGAGGAAGAAGCTAAAGATTTGCTCAAAAGATTTAAAGAACATCTGTCTAAAGCCAAATTAGAAAGAAATTATTATAATAAAAACACTAAATTAGCAGAAGAGCAAAGAAAATTAGTTAATCAGAATTATTCAAAGAGTAAAACACAATATTGTAGTATTGATGCTACTGCTCATTATAGTTATGATTGAGCCCAAATTGTTCATGTACCACACTTAGATCAACAAGTAAGTAAAATTTATTATCTTAGTCCATGCAAAGTTCATTTATTTGGTATTCAAGATGAAGCAATAAGAGAACAAATTAATTATGTTCTTAATGAAGATGAAATCATAGGAAAAGGTCCTAATGGAACTCTTAGCATGATTTTTGATGGAATTAAAAAATTGAATAAAGGTGAAAAACATTTAAAGATTACTTGTGATAATGCTGGGGGACAGAATAAAAATAATGTAACAATTTGGTTTTATTTATATTTGGTAATTTGTGGTTATTATGAAAGTGTTGAATTGAACTTTATGGTTCCTGGACATACTAAATTTAAATGTGATGGTAGTTTTGGACTGATTAAAAAACTCTACAGAAGAACAAGAGTAGATTGTGTGGGTCATGTGGTTGATGTAGTGAAAATGTCCAGTCCAGCAGGATTGAATAAAGCTCAATGTTATGAAAGTGGAAAAGGTTTTCAATACTTAGATATTAAAGCCATCTTAGGAATTTATTTTAAGAAATTACCAAGTATACAGAAATATCAACATTTTCTTTTTGAAACATCTAATCTTGGTACAGTGAAAGTTCAAGGAGTTGCTAATGGACCTTTTACTGAATTCAATTTATTAAAAACTAAGAAAGCAGATATTTTTGAAGAAATCAGAGCTTTATCTATTTTAGTGTTAACACCTCCTTCTTTAGATTACAAAAGGCAGGAATATCTTTATCATATTATTCGCCCATTTGTCAGAGACAAATTTAAAGATATTACTTGTCCAAAACCAATTTATGCTGACAATGAATAGAAAATTTAAAAATAAACTTTCTCTATTACTTCATTATTATATTAATAAAATAATTATATACTTAATAATGCTTTTATAAAAAGAAAGATATTAATTCGTGGTCCGCCGATCAACGATAGATTTTTAATATGTAGATCCGGGATATTAAACATATTAAAAATTGGTTGATGATCAAAACCAAAACTACCCATTTTTATTTTAAAAAAAATATATATTCTATTACTTTTTTTTTTTAAAAAAACTCTTAAAAAAATAATAAACTGTTTATTTTATATCTATAAATTCTATAAAAACTTATTTCAATCATGAATAATTTATCTGTGCAATTATTATCTAGTGGTATTATTGATCCTGATTTACATTATGGAGTACATGCAAAGACCCGGTGGTTTCAAGCTTCTAAAAACTTAAACAATATTTGTTATTGGAATCCAATCTGTGTTGGAATGAAAACACAATTTGTCCTTAATAGTAAAAATTTTATATTACGTGTTATAAAAGGTAACAAGCTCAATGCACTTCATCCAGGATATTGTTGCCAATGTGATGAAATTTCAAGTGAAGTTGAAAGTAATCCAACTGATGCTGTTTCCAATTTATATCAAAAAATTTTCCAAAGCTCAACAAGAATTTCTGGAATTAAAGCATTAGGATTTGAGTCAAATGACATTGTTCAAGAATTATTATTAAACATTGAATTTAGACCATATTCAATTCAAATTGAAAGAATTAACTTATTTATTTATGGTTTAGGTATTTCAAAAAATAAAGAATCTTGTGGAGCTGGAAATGGATACATATCTTCCTTTAATTATAAATTTTCAAATAAATGGTGTACATTTATTCAAAAAATAATCAATGATAAATTTATAATTGAGATATGGCATGAAGATGAATTACTTAAAGAAATTAAAAAAAATGATCCAAATGATGCTTGGAAAGGGCTAGGAATTCTGAATAAATATGAAGGAAAAAAAATTTCTGGTTTAAATAATAATGTAACATCAGTAATTCTGGAAGAGTTGAACACTTTGGCTTGTACTCCAAATGATTGGGATGATGTGGGTTTAATGCAAAAAATATTTGATTACTATCTAAAAAAAAAAACAATTGCAAACATAAACTGGTATAATTTTTTTTATCAATGGCATAAACAAAATTCTAGTATGATAGAGCTTTATTCCTCTTTAGAAAAAATATATCCCTTAAATCATAAGTTTAGTGATCGTGAATTACAAGCATGGAATGCAATGTTAAGAGCTGTGGGTTGTACAAATATCACTCCTTTCAGTAATAAAATTTCACCTGTAAGTTAAAATAATTTCAAATGATCATTTTTATCTAAATGAGCATACTAATTAATTAATATACAAATTATCATTTTTTCATTTCAGTATAGGTTTTGGACTAGAGCTATTGATCCTAAACCTGACAAAAATAATATTGATTTTTTATATAAATCTGGTTTTTTAAGTGCATATCCATCTTACAATAGTAATGAAACCTTTTGGAGTTGTTTCAAGCAAAGCCTTGATGAAAATAAATGAGGGTTAGATGGAAAGCAGAGAATACTGTCCATCATTGCACAAGATTTTTCATATGACACATTACAAAAAAAATTAGAGGTAAAATTTTTCAATAGCATCTAATAATTTATTTATATATAATAAGCTGTTTAATAAGCTGTTTAATACAAATATATTTTATTAGGTTTCACCCAATTCTATATCAGGTGCAAAAAAGTCTGCACAAATTTATGGGCGTGGATGTAAGCCTTTAGAAAAACCAGTTTATACCCAAAGATCTAGAATCACAGAAGAGATAAAATCACAATTTGATGCTTTTTTTTCTGATAAAGCTAATGTTTCTATGAGCTCATTTAAAGTTGATCCTAAATCTGAATTACCAATATTATATTTACAAGATCAGAAGCAATCTTTGTGGAAAAAATACTCAGAAATATACCCAGGTGGAATGTCAAGGACAACCTTCATGCTTCAATTACAAAATGGTAGGTATAAATATAGAGATGACTTAGGTGGACTATGTTCAATTTGTGCTGATTATGGATATGGTGTATTTGATGATTTAAATAAAGTTGTAATAAAATATATAAATGATAGTAATATTCAGGTAATTATTTTATATCTTATTTATAGTATATTTGGTTTACAGCATCTTCCTTAAATGCAGTTTTTGAAACCATGACAAAAAAAACAAAAATGGGTAACAATTATTTCTGATAATGGGCCTCATTATCACAATTCAGAATTAATGATAATTTTGTCATATTGGAAGGATTGGTGTGATATTACAATTCATAAATGGATTTTTCTTGAACCTGGTGAAGCTAAAACTACAATTGACTCTCATCATACTCAGGTAAATTAAATTCATTATAAGTTATTTAATAATATTTTTTTAATTATTTATTTTTGCTTTTTATAGATTTCACATTCAATTAAAAAATATGTTAGATTAGGATGTAATATTACAGAAGGTAATGATATTGAATTAGCCATCAAAGGTTTACTAGGCACTTCAGTAGCAAACCTGACACCAAATAGGGAAAAAAATAAAGGAAAAATAAAAACAATACCAGGTATATCCAATTGGTTTGAATGGCAATGGCCAACAGAAGGTCAATATGCTGGTTATATTAGAGCTAGATCCTTGCCTAATATAGGTGGATGGAAAATTTCTCCCCAGCACAGATTCAAAAATTATCAAAAGCAAAAGTTACTAAACCTCAACCACAAATTTCTATCCCAACCACACCAAATTTACCTTGGACTTTGTCAATTCCTAAAAATATGGGTAATTAATTGTCTAGAAATTTTCTATTATTTTAAATATACAAATTTAATTTTACAAACTTACTTGAAAAATAAAATTGTTTATCAGGCAATGAAATTAATAAATCCAAACCAAGCAACATAACAGTCCAACCAAATCAAATATTGTGAGTCTTTTAAAATCTATTAATTACTATTATCTATGGTGATAAATTAACAAATCATTTATTAATATAATTTTAAATAGCATTTCTGATGAATTTTTGAAAAAAGGATGGGCATTAAAAGAAAATCAAAAATTTGGGAATAAAGGTGGAGCAAAATTTCCGAAAAAAATAATTACCATTTTACAAGGATTTTTTCATGCAGGTAATGTTGATAAAAGTGATCGTTATACTGCTCAAGATATGTGTTCTGAATTAATAAAGATGGCTGAAGATGGTGAAATAAATCAAGAATCAATTCCAAGAGTAGAATCTATACAAAGTTGGATTACTAGTTATGCTGCTGCATGTAAAGCTGAGGCATCAAAAAATGTCATAAATCTAATAAATGTAGAGTTTAGTAATAATAACAATCAATAAATTTATTATAAAAAAAATTATATGAGAATTACCATTGGAATTAAGTTGAGTTCTATGACAACAAAGCATTGTTCAACTGAATTATATTATGTTTTTTAAAAAAATTTATTAAAATTCAATAAACTTTAATAAAACATCAACATTTAAAAAAAAAATTTAATTTTTTTTATATATATTTTATACTTGGAATCCACAGCTCCTCCAAAGTGAATTATTTATTTTGAAATAATAAAATAGATAATTTTTATATTTTTAAAAAAATCAAGTTCCTATATATCTATAACTTTGCATGATTTCATGTGACTCTGTATAACAAAAAAATATTTTTTCATAATATATATACAACTTTCGTCACTCGATACATTTTTTTAAATTTATATATGCCGATCGCCCGGTTTTTACTAATCAATTTCTATCGTTGATTGGCGGACCACGAATTAATAATTTTTGTTGCCAATAAAGATCTGCAAGTTTGTGTTTTTTAACAGTTAATAAGTCATTAATAGAGTTATTAAGTACTTAATAACTTGGTCATTTATCAAAATAATTTTTATGCCCATCACTATACGCGTCGACCAATAACTTCTTTTTTTATAAAAAAATTTTTTTTTAAAATGTCATACACTACTGATAAAAGAAAACAACAAAACAATACAAGGAATGACGAGTAAGTGTTTTAAGGATGGTGGTGGTGGTTATCACCCGCCACCCGTCATCACTCTAGTTATATAAAAAGAAAATGATTGCGACTCTTTACTGAATTTTGGATTTTTTTTTTTTTTTTTGCTTTAAGCCAACTAGAATGGGAGTCCAAATTCATATTAATAAATCAAATGTTAGAAACATTACCATCCAAAATTAAAATTTCAAGCAATCAAAAAGAAGTTATAGTAAGTTTCCAGCGAATTTATGAATTCATTCATTTTTTGTCAACTCATATTTAACATTAAGTTAAGTTTGGATGGAAGGTCTGTGTTCAGTTCATTATGAAAAAAACTTGTCAATCTTGACCAAAGAAATACAAATAAGGAAATTGTTTGCATAAAAAACTATGAACCTTTCTTATATATATGTATATTATCTTTAGTTTTACAAATATATTCGAATTTTTAATTGAATTTAATTGGATAGAATTAAGAGTGATTATTATTGATATATATATTTAAAAAGGAAAAAAATGAGAATATCGTTATTTATGATGATCTTATGCTGTGATCCATTTATTACATATTTTATTTTTTACATAAAAAAAAAGCAATTGAAAAAAATTACTGGAATTAAATAGTCACCACAGATCTATAGTAATAGTAATAGTAATAGTAATAGTAGTAGTAGTAGTAGTAGTAGATGATAGTAAAATTCGAATTTTACATAGTAAAAAAAAATAATTTTATAATTGAATTTCTTACATCCTTGCTTGAGGGGAATTTCTCTACAAAAAAAAATGAAACAAAAATGTGGGGATGGCCATCCTATTTATATTTTTTTGAATTAATAAAATAGACTATTGTCTTGACCTTAGTGATGTTGTTGTGTGAGTAAAACGCACGAAGCTCATTGTAAGGTTGTGGGCGAAACCTCTTAATGACTGTCGAAACTCTGTCGAAACTCTAATGAACAATTAATGTGTAACCTGTCGAAACTCTGATGATTGGCGAAAACCCCAAATGCAAAACTCTGCCGAAACTCTAATAAACAATTAATGTGTAACCTGTCAAAACTCTGTCAATTGATTTCTGGAGGAGTTTCTCCCACAACCTTAGCTCATTGTCATGTTTTCGTTTAAAAATATCTGTATTTGTGTTACATTCCGTATATTTATTAAAATATTTCATATTATTTATTATTTATTTGGAAGGAATTAATGGCAATAATCCCAAATGGGATAATTCACCCAGACTGGGATATTAATTAATTAAACATGTATATAAGGAACAAGAATTCGCTGTACTTTAAAAGTGACTTTGTAATAAGTTAACTTAATAGTGTGTTTTTGTGTAATTGATAGTGTACCATTTTTGATTTAATAAAATCTATTTGAATCTACTAAAGCAAATAAACAAAGATAAATTTATTATTTATCAAAAAAAGAAATAAAGAAACTTTAAAGTATATAAACATGATTGATTTTGAGATTGACATCAAAAAAATTTGCAACATTAAAAATCATTAAACTTTATACATTTAATAATATAAAAACAATGCTACTTGTATGATTGATTCAATAAAGGAACAAAATTAATTATTTTGCAATAAAAGCTATTTGTTTGTTTGTTTATTGTTGTTTTTGATTTTGGTATTAATGCATGGTTTGTTTCTATTCATGATACAGTCAGAACTCGTTAAACCAAAGTCAATATTTTCAAAAAAAAACTTCAATCTAAAAACCTTAATAAAATCGGCTTGTTGAGGTAATTTGATAGGTAGATAATAAAACAACATCATTTTATCATGTATATTTGGTTTATCAAAGCACCATCTTAACGAGTTCTAACTGTACATTTATTCATTTTTATTCGTTTTTATTCGTTTTTATTCGTTTTATTTGTTTTTATTTGTTTTATTTGTTTTTATTCATTTTATTCATTTTTATTTGTTTTTATTTGTTTTTATTTGTTTTATTCACTTTTATTCATTTTTGTTCATTTTGTTCGTTTTGTCCATTTTGTTCATTTTTGTTTGTTTTTGTTTGTTTTGTTCATTTTGTTCGTTTTTGTTCGTTTTGTTCGTTTTTGTTCAAATTATTTTTTTACTCAAATTGTTTGTTTTATTTGAGTAAGCCTTATTTGAATAAAAACCTAACTACTGCTCAAGATTATGATATAATTTTAGCACAAAGAGCTTTAGAAATAATTTAATTACAATATAATAGAGTTAAAAAAAGGATTCATTTTAAAAGAATATCAGATAAATATCAGCACTTTCAATATTTACTAGTAGGCTTTTAGACAATATGATAAAAATACTATTAACTTATCAGTATGTTAATACCTTGATTATTTTTTTAAGAATAATCAGATTCTGATATTTGCTAATACCCCATTACCCAATTTGGCATCATTCAAGTAAAAAGAGAACCAATAGATTATGTGTAAGCAAAGAAAGATGAGACCCTAAATTAGAAACCATAACAGCTTGATAGCTTGATTGACACAGTTGTGTAGTCTTGCAATTTTTTTATTGTGTATTTTTAAATATAATTAACCATACATCTTTAATAAAACAAACATGACTTAGCTATTTAATCATTTCCTTGTATGTGAATGCCTCCACCCATCAAATATTCATGATGGTCATGATTATTATGCAATACATTTGATATCATTATTGACATAACAAACAATTACATCACCCAGTTAATGATACCAAGGCCATGCATAAACAAAGCTTTTAATAATGCCTGTCTACCCAGATCTCTGGTATTCACAATAATAAATTATTTTTCCCGATTATCAATTATGGTTCCTTATGAATAATAAATCTGATGTTGATTACAGGTGTCAGATTTAATTAAACTTTCCTATCACAAACATGCAATTGCGATGCAACTAAGCACAATTCAGCACCATGGAATTTTTTCCACAGGTGAAGGAGGGTTGAACATGTTGGAAGACTTTGGACAAAACATCCCCTTATCTTTTCCTCAGACCAGGCTGGACGTTACATATATGGGCATTGATAACTGATGAGAGTTGACATTTGTGTGATGATTGCTTTGTGTTATACCCCTCTAGAATAAAGTTGGCACCTGCAACTGGTTGAAAATTCTGCAACTCAGGAGGTTGTAACCTGGGTCATTGTTTTGGATTTTTCCTGAATTCAGAGTTTTGAGTCCTGGGTTGCTGTAATTTTTATGAAAAGAAAAGTATTAATATTTAACAATTAATTATTTAAATGTTTATTTTGTTGAAAAAAATATACATTGATAGTGTACATTTTCTGTGCTTAACATCCATGTGACCCTAAGTCTGGACAATAGATCCCTTTCTATGAATTTGGCTGGTATATCCCAAAGGCGTCTCCTGCCTTGTCAGTGGCATGCCTACTCACCAACAACCCTGCCCCATTTATTTAAATAACAAGTTCAGTTGGTCAAATAAAAACTAAAGAGAAGCAGAAAATTTATGAAAATGATTAATTTATATGGAACATACCAAACAAAATCCGAACCATTTTGTAACTTTTTTCTTGTTGGCCATATTGCTGACAAGGATATATATAATCATGCGATAATTTTGATCTACAGGACAGAGGACTGATTGAGCAAAAACCCAATCCAGTCTCCTACCCAAAATTATGAATTTGTTGGTTAGTATCAGAGAAACAGAGTGTTTAGGAAAATTTTTATACAAAACAAACACTATTTTACAACTCTCCTCTTAACATCAGAGTCCAAATGCAAACTCAGGGCCACCAACCCTGCTCTGAATTGTGACCCCCTGTGCTTGAAACGAGTTGCAGATTCTCTTGATATTCCTCCAGAGTTGCAACATGGTCACAGTGCCACCCTTACCCTGGAGGTGGGATCGTTGCAGTTGACTTTTCAGCTTAAAGTTGGCACCTGCAACTGGTTGAAAATTCTGCAACTCAGAAGGTTGTAACCTGGGCCATTGTTTTGGATTTTCCCTGAATTTAGAGTTTTGAGTCGTGGGTTGCTGTAATTTTTATGAAAAGAAAAGTATTAATATTTAACAATTAATTATTTAAATGTTTATTTTGTTGAAAAAAATATACATTGATAGTGTACATTTTCTGTGCTTAACATCCATGTGACCCTAAGTCTGGACAATAGATCCCTTTCTATGAATTTGGCTGGTATATCCCAAAGGCGTCTCCTGCCTTGTCAGTGGCATGCCTACTCACCAACAACCCTGCCCCATTTATTTAAATAACAAGTTCAGTTGGTCAAATAAAAACTAAAGAGAAGCAGAAAATTTATGAAAATGATTAATTTATATGGAACATACCAAACAAAATCCGAACCATTTTGTAACTTTTTTCTTGTTGGCCATATTGCTGACAAGGATATATATAATCATGCGATAATTTTGATCTACAGGACAGAGGACTGATTGAGCAAAAACCCAATCCAGTCTCCTACCCAAAATTATGAATTTGTTGGTTAGTATCAGAGAAACAGAGTGTTTAGGAAAATTTTTATACAAAACAAACACTATTTTACAACTCTCCTCTTAACATCAGAGTCCAAATGCAAACTCAGGGCCACCAACCCTGCTCTGAATTGTGACCCCCTGTGCTTGAAACGAGTTGCAGATTCTCTTGATATTCCTCCAGAGTTGCAACATGGTCACAGTGCCATCCTTACCTTGGAGGTGGGATCGTTGCAGTTGACTTTTCAGCTAGCATGGCAGCCATCTCTGGTCTGAAAAGATTAGTGAAAGCGTCATTGACAATTGGTGCAATCTCAGTAAACTCCAGATCCACGCGCCTTCTGGAATTCGGTTGCATCATCATATCTTCAGGTCGTCGGGTAAGATTAGCCTTTTGTACACGAGGAATGTGTGAGAATGATTGTAATGTGTTCAAGGTAGCATGCATGTTTCAATGCCTGCCAATTTCTGATAATCAAACATCACATACTCGAATTGTCTCTTTTTAACGGTGTGCTGCCTTGATATCTTGTAATTATTAATTATAATAATAATATTAATATTATTGATTACAAAAAGCAAAATATTATCAATGAAAATCTTGTAATTACCCAGCAAGATCTGCTCTGTGTTTTGATTCCAATTAAAATGTTTATAACTAAAAAATAAATAAAAAAAAGTACCTCTGGTTAGTTATTAACATGTTTTCTTTAGGAGACCCAAGCCAAACCAAACAACAACACTCGCATTTTGTCACCTTAGACTCTGTCAAAAAATAAATTATTTTTATTGTTTTTCCAAGAAAAAAAAAATCAATTCGTGTCTGTCCTACCAAAAAAAAACCAATAGGATAAATAATTAATTCGCAATTCGCGATGGACGGAAAGGATCGACATACATTTTAATATATAGTAAAATGCAGGGATAATAAACATAATAAAACTAATTAGTAAAAATAATATTGAGCCGATTTTAATTTTAAAAATTTTAAAATGACTAACCGTCCCAATTTAACTATAAATCTCATTTCAATAGGCCAAATAAAGCCACACTTGCATTATGGTGTAAACTCAAGAGATTGGTGGGTTATGAAGAGTAAAAGTAAACCAGAAGAAGGTGCGTTACTTTATCCAAGGAGAGTTGGTTGGGAAACTAGCATAGAACAAAATGGCAGACAATACTATACATGCATTACTGAAGGCAATGAAACTAGTAATTTACTACCAGGATATAGATGTCGTTCTGGGTGCAAGTTTAGTGATATAGAAGAAGCACCTAGTAATGCAATAACAAGCTTATATAAAAGGCTAAATCCTAATTCAAATACAAATTTTTCTGGTCCTTTGGTTTTAGGTTGGGATAACAAAGAAATATTGGAAGCTTCACTGAAGGATATAGATTTTCAACCCTTTGCTATAAAGTTTGACAAATTTTTAATATATATTATAGATATTGGCATGGGAGAAGAGAGTGATTTTGGTGTCAAAATTGATTATACTTCTTCATTTATAGGTGAATATAATAGAACACGTGCTTTGTTTATTCAAACTGTTGAATATGATCATTGCAAAATTTCTATATATGTGGATAATATTGAATCACCAGTGTTTTTCTTTGGATCTACACCATCAGAAGTATGGGAAAATACAAAGATTTATAAAAAATTCACTGGAATGCAGTTGTTTGGGTTGGAACATCCAATGACCAAACAAAATATACAAATTGGTAAAATTCCTAAATGCCACCTATATCTTGGAATAACGAAAAAATTATGGATGCTATTTTCAATTATAATTTGAAAAAAAGAATTCCTAATATTGACTGGAGAAGAGTTTTCAATCTTGGCTAGAGCAAAAAAGCACAATTATTGAACTGCATGGAAAATTAAAAAATTTATATCCATACAATCATGAATTTAGTGAACGTGAAATGAGAGCATGGCGTGCAATGTTGAGGGCTACCGGATGTACAGAAATCACACCAGTTTCAATAGACAAGTTAGAGGTAATTTTTATTCAGTTTTTTATTCTAAATTCATAATTTTCAAGATTTGCATGAGTATTTTTAATTTCTTCATTTTCACTGGAATCAATTTCTTAAAAAACTAATGCAAAATCATCTTGAGCCAGGATTTAAAATCATCATTGATTTGAACTAATACAAAATTTTTTGATGAATTTAAGCATGAATTTTGGTCTTGAGGCTTTGATCCATCAGTTGATCAAGATACCTTGGAGGTTTTAAATAGTAATGGCTTTTTGAATGTGAAAAAAAAAATAGATTTCACTATAGCTGATATTTTTTGGGAATGTTTTAATAAATCATTGGAACAAAACAAAACAGGCTATGATGGTAAAATAAGAATATTGTCAATAATTGCAAGAGAATTTCAATACAAAGAACTTCAAAGAAAACTCAAGGTAAGTTTATTTTAATATGCATATTTGAACTACATTTCATCATTGCTTTGTATCAATGGTGACATTGAACAATGTTGATGGCCCAATGGATTAATGAATTAATGATGGTTGTTATAATTAAAGAGTTCTCCAAAATATTTAAATTCCTCAGATTTTATAACCTAGATGATAATTTTTTATTAGAAATAATTTTTGATTTAAAATTTTGAGTAATATCATTAAGATTAAATATTGTTTAATAACATCATACTTTGATGTTGATTATTTACAATAAAGTATATCCAATAAAATTGTTTTTCCATTGAATTTTAAATTGAATCCTTGTTATTTCATTAAAAAAAAAAATCATCATTAGTCTCAAAATCCATTAAGTTCATTAAGATGTACATAAACATCATAACATTCTTATTGATAGTAATGCCATTAATGATTAAATTGCAACAATTTATACTTCTCTGAATAAAATAGGTGTCATCTAAAACAATATCCAAAGCAAGATTGCATTCCAAAGTTAATGGTCCAGGATGTGCAGGAGTTGAAAAACCAATAATTACAAGAGTTCGAATTACTGAAGAAGCTAAAAGACAATTTGAAATTTTTTTTGCTGACAAAAATATTGTCAATTTAAGTTCTTATAGAGTAAATGAAAAAACTGGTGATCCTGTAAAATATTTGAAAGATCAAAAAGAAACATTGTGGAGAAAATACTTTGAACTACATCCATCTGGAATGAAAAGGACATCATTTTTAAAACACTTGAATGATGGTTCTTTTGTATATGGTTGGCTCGGTCTAAAGACCTCCTATTTCTGCGCCACGTGGCCAAATTTCAAAAATAGCAATTTTGTAATT